ATGACTGGCAAACAGACAACCATTACATTCAACAACTCACAAGGAACTAAAGAACAACTAGGGCTATATATACACATGGGGCTAACAAGCTGAACAAGATAAGACACACCTGGGGAGACTAATCAAGGGGAACCAATGAACAAACGGACTACAAACTGACTACAAACACCACGGGAGACAGGAAGTGACATAAAAGTCCAGGGCAAGGCACAGAGAGCATGAAACAAAAACAAGAATGAGTTTATTTGTGAGGAGAGCAATCGCATTTATTTTCTAAAACCAAAATAAAACTGAACACCTCAAAATTACAAAACAAAACAAACAAACAAAAAACAATATCTTTCAAAAAGGTCTCTTCAGTATAATGGATAAATAAAATAATGTTAAGTCAAATTAAAAAGCCGAAGCCTTCTAGCAGTGGATGTGCTGGTTTGGGCCTCATTGCCGGCTGCAGTCATGTCCTCATCTCATATATAAAACACCTCTGATTCACAAATACTTGCTAAGGAACTCGCATTCACATAAAGTAGCCTTGTTGACAAGTTTGGGTGAGTAAGGGCAAAACGCAGTACTTGCAGTGACCTGTAGCAGACAGTATCACGTCTTTTGTAGCAGAAATAAACTGCCAGCTAGGTCCATGCAAAATGTAATTTGTAACTGCAACACTCATTTCAAATGTAGTGGAGTAAAGAGTACAGATACTCATTCAGAAATGTAGTGGAGTAAAGAGTAAAAGTTGCTAATATCTTTGATCACCGGTACAACTACAAAGTACCCGAAAAGATACTCAAGTACAGTAACTAAGTACATTTACTCCAATACTTTACACCTCTGGAAATCAGAATACATTAATGAAGAATGTAACTTATTCTTCATGTGTGATGACTAATGACTCCCTCGGAATGTATAAAAATGTTATTCTGTTTATAATCTTATAGAAAACTTTACACTGCTAAAGATCCCCTTTTATTCCTTTGCAACTTACAGTATCTCAATGACATCATCTGGTGACCCTTTTTTGGCATATTTGCTTGTGAGGTACAGACTGCAGCAGTGGCCTTAAACTATTTATACACTTAGACCATGCTTAAAATGTCTTTGTAGATAACAGCTGATTGTATCATATTTGATTCTTACATTAAATAACTGAATAAAAAACTAATTTTGAACAGTTTACATATTGTTCAAATACATATTACATACAGTTTACATAATGTCAAAGTTAATTTGTAATCAAATTAAAGCAATGAAGTGGCACTCCAGTACTCCAGTTAAACTGGACTGAAAAATGACTTCTTTATGGATTCATGGTAAACATTCAGTTAATTCTTTATGTATTTCACGCTTGGAGGAAATCAGAGACAAAGGCAAGAGAATCCAAATGAAGATTAGTTTATTGAAGGAACAGGAACCAGGATGACAGAAACCATGAACAGGAGCGAACTAAACACATAACAGTCATGAAAGAACAAGACTAGACAAAGGAGGGCAATCACAGGGGTTTAAAGGGGTCATCAGATGACCATTTTCCACAAGTTGATATGATTCGGCAGAATCACTCTGGACCCCTCACATCCAGCACACTCCCTCTTTGAACTGTTGCCATCTGGTCGACGCTACAGAGCACTGAGCACCAGAACGACCAGACACAGGAACAGTTTCTTCCCTCAGGCCATCCATCTCATGAACACTTAACAATAACTGTGGAACACACACTATTTATACACTCATACACTTATTTATCTAACACTCATACTCAGTCTACACCTCAAATTTGCACATAATATACAGTACCTGTACATACAAAACTGTCTATTGTAATATTGATTGATTATGATTATGATTATACCTGCACATACAATTGTCGATTTATATATTTTTATTCCTTATTTACTTGTTCTATTTTTTTATTTTTTATTATCTGTGTTTTTTGTTCGTCACTGTCATTCTGTTACACTGTGGAAGCTTCTGTCACGAAAACAAATTCCTCCTATGTGTAAACATACCTGGCAATAAAGCTCATTCTGATTCTGATGAGCTCTGCTGACCCCGCCCCTCTCTTCAGAGCTGCTCTCTGAGGGACTGTTTACTTTAGCCGCATTCATTGTGAAACTTGCTAATTAGCACATTATTAGGAAAGGTGATTGGCAAAGATTCATTACAAAACATTGTACTCACTTCTTCTGTAGATGAGGCTGGATCATGAATAATTTGCGCGAACATAGACGCATTTAGGTAGATTGGGGGAGCATTGTCATAGGGAAAGGGGCGTGGTCAATGAATTGTCAAGGCAAGGCAAACAGGGACAGGAACTGAACAAATGGAAGTGAACACACTACAAGTCCTAAACACAAGACAGGGGAACACAAGATTGGGATCGTGACATTGTATATTGTTTTGCTTTATTATATCATTATATCTTGTCTAATTTGTCAGTATTAAACTCAGTGGATTTAGCTTCCTCTTATTTTAAGGTCACAAACAATGAATATGGAATGTGTACAACATTGTAAAGCATGAGCATACTCATTTCCAAAAGGTACACTTACTGTACATGAACCACAGTAATACTGTGGTAAGCAATGTTATACATTCATAACCTATTTATCAGACAAGTCTACTGATTAAAGAGAATAGTTTTAATTCAATCAGTGTTCCCTGAAATGTACATGCATTTCTTGCAGCCGTTAACACTCGTAACCATGGACACAACCTACAATTTTATTGAATCCATCACACTTATTGATCTGTACTCATAGAGTGAGAGGTAAGGAGGGAAGGGAAGCAAGAGAGATTTGCAGGTGATGATAAAACCACAGCCTGGCTTGCATGATTTGCACTTCACAAAGAGTTGGCTGAACAATTTGTATTTTTCAGCTGTTCAAATCTTGTGGCTCCCGCAACCTCAAGACTTGGAAATTCTGTACCTGGAAAAGTCAAGTAGATTGATAAAATCTTAAAATGCAATGGGCTTGCTCAGTCTTTTCCAGGTTGAGCTGTAGGTGATATTCTTTCATCCATGCCGAGATGTCTGCCAGGCAGCCTGAGATCCGTGCAGCTACCGTTGGATCATCTGGTTGAAATGAAAGATAGAGCTGTGTGTCATCAGCATAGCAATGGTAGGAGAAGCCATGTGCCTGTATGATGGGACCCAGTGATGTTGTGTATATGGAGAAGAGGAGGGGTCCAAGAACTGATCCCTGAGGAACCCCAGTGACAAGTTGATGTGCTTTGGATACCTCCCCTCCCCAAGACACCCTGAAAGACCTACCAGTGAGATAGGTTTTTAGGAGATAGATTTTTAATAACAAATGTACATTCTCTCTAATATTTTATCAGGTATAGAAATTGTGAGTCAAAAATATTTTAAAATACCCCTAACCCTGTAAAGCCTGATGTGAAAGTCAGAAAGCTTCAAGTTCAATAAGTTTCAAGTTTGGTTCATTTATAGCACCATTAAAACAGCGACAGCTGACCAATGTGCCTTACAACATCAACTCAGAGAAACAAAAGAATAAGAAGGTAAAAAGATAAAATCACAGAAAAAAAATCTAGAATAAAAGTAAATAGAAACCAACAGAAATCAAGTGCAATTTAAACATCAAGGGACATTAAAAGCAATGGGAAATGCTTTAAAGATGTACAAATCTGTAATGGGAGCAGATCTAATATGGGCTGGCTGACTGTTCCAGAGTTTACGTTCTCCTCTTTGTTTTAAAATTGATCTGTAATGAATTTTTCTTACCCCATTGGCAGATTGTTTTTTGGGCTTAAAACAAGTCTAAAAATAGCAGTAATTTAGATTCAGAAATGTATTTAGTTTACTTGACGGAATGTTGGAAACCAATTGCACATATTTCCTTAGTCTCCATATCCTAAAATAGAACATTAAATCCACGCTGAGAATAATAGTGTTTGTCTGCAGTACAAAATATAACGAAGTTAAATAGCATGAATGAATACCGTAATCTTACTAGGAAATATTAGGTAACATTAATAAACATCCTAGAGTAAAATAAACTGAAATGGGCATTAAACTATCTTGAGATTTATTACTCAATTTACTCTGAGTTAGCTTTTTTACTTTTAGCTGATTACTTACTTAACTTCAATACGGTCTTTATGTTTGCTTAGCAAAAACAAAGCAATCTGTTTCCAAACATTTTTTAATCATACTGAACCTGCTAGAATTTACAGCGAATACAATAGTGCTTATGAATAGTGTTATTTGCAGTGTTTGGGATGCGTTCATGGTCAGGCCAAGCCAAGCGTTCCCTGAAACACACGTCAAAGTCAGAGGTCACTCAAAATGAGGGCGCAGAAGAGAAAAAGGAGGGACAGAAGATGATAAAATGGAGAAAGGAAGAGCTTAGATAGTGACCTCTGGCCCCATGTCTTCCTTTTCTCTTTCATTCTCTTATTCGCTCCCTATGTTTCTTTTCTCACTCTTCTCACTGACTCTTTGTGTCCAGCATTGATCTGACCACAGGCTGTGATCTCTGTGACCTTTCCAGGGGTCAGCTGGCGGCCATGGTGACAGAGGGGTCAGTCTGCGGCCTCGGTTCATCTCTCGGTCAACATCAGGTCAGATTTCGGTCAACATCAGTGGTGTGTTCAAGACCCTGAAGCCACGAAGATGGTTCAGTTGGTCGGCGTGTTTCATCAAAGGACAGGTCTTGTGTTTCAACTCGTGAGATTATACTAGTCTCCTATTTCTCAACTAGGTTGATTGGGTTAATTGGTTAATTTGAGATTATTTTTGTGTTTTTTTGTTGATTCAAAATTCACATGTATGCGCAGGGTGCAGTTGGAAAGCCTGAAAAAGCTGTTTATTAAAGAAAAGAGTGATTGTTTCTATTATAAGAATTTTTAAATTGCTAGCAAGTAGCTAACCTAAGATTAACCTCTCGTTACCGATCAACATGGAGGTCGTCTACCGGTCAATTACAGGGCGTTTTCCCAAAGCAGTATATATATATATATATATTGGTTGTTTAATTTTGATTGCACCTATTTTTCCATTTATGTGTAAAGATTTAGATGACAAAATTTTAAAAAGTACAAATTTAAAAAAAAGTTCATATAAAAAATTACGGTACACTGATAACTGTAATCTTTAGCAAATCTTAAAATGATCATCATTTGATCACATTTTTGATACTTAAATGTACCTGTAGTATTTAAAACTATTGATTTTTAGTGTTTTATTTTGAGTTTTAGCATAATAAATTAAATAGAATTTTAATTAGACTGATTAGATTAATTATTGGTAAATGTATGAATTATTGAGCTATGGGTTTTGGGCAGAATTTTAATGTTGTGCATCCCTAGATTTGTTGGCTTGTTGGAATGCCAGCCATACATTTCCAGTGTAAGTTATGCTTGATTTTGGATTAGATTCTTTGGATACTTTTAGAAGTACCATAACATTGTTTTCACCTCATAGCTCCCCACCACGTACTTCAGAATTTTCACACACTTCGATTAATATTCATGTGCCCTCAAATTCACCCGGAACGCGACGCGGGTCGTCTGGCGGTCAGTGGCATGGGGCTTCTTTCCCCTAAAAGCACTACAATGTCCCTTAAAAAAAAACATGCAAGTGGTGATCAGTTAGTCTGATCATTCAAATTAGTAGGCTGCGTGTATTTGGCCTCCGTCTGACCTGCATGTATCCGGGGTCACCTGGCGGTCAGATTCAGGGGTCATCTGACGGTCGAAGTCCTTGTGTCCCTTCCAAGCCACCGTAGGGTGTTTGTTGCATCCATGTAGTCTGATTGGCTCGGTGGCAGGGCCCAAGGGCTCATCAATCCTTCCTCTAATCATTACAGATGGAAGACAGCGGCGTAAACAGGCATCATTAGGCCACAGCCACTCGTGTCCACTTTAAACCGCCGTTATGACTTCACAGAAGCATCTGTAACTTGCTCCCCTGGGGAGCGACGGCGAAGGATGAAGTACTTTTGAGATGGTCTTCTGTCAGTTAAGTGTGCAGGGTTGACAGGACTGCACTCATTTTGTCATCCACACCACTGTGATGGTCGGCCTACTTAAAATTCCAGTTTAAAATACGATTTTACAAAAAAAAAAAAAAATCTAGGTTTGCTTTGTTTATTTGTAAGGCTGTACAATGTGGTCAAAATTGTGTAATTATATATCAGTATGGCTATAAAATAAAAATAATGATAAGTCTATTAATAATGAGGATGAAGATAATTATTTTAGTATCAAGATACTATTATATATTTTAATTTAATATTTTCCATTTTCATTTAAAATTTTTAAATTTTAAGTAATTTTTTTTCTTCTATTTTTATTTCAGTTTTTTTATTAGTTATTTTACTACATCAAGTTATTTGGCAACTAGCTGAATTTTTTAAATATATTTTAATTAATTAAACTTTTTTTTTTAATGATTTTTTTATGTTAAATGTTTAAATAATAGCTACTACTAAATAAAAATGTAAAATCAAAATAAGAATTATCACTATGTATAATAGTAATGTTTTACACTACAACTGTAAAATTACAACACTAATATTTGTCTTCATTTACAACGTTTTTTTGATGGAAAACTCCAATCTACTCTTTTGTTGATAAGTGCTTCTCATTTCACGAATGGGAAGATGGTGTGTGTGTTGCGTTCCCAAATGCACATTAAAGTGACCCAAACTCCAAGCAGATGCAGAGATGAGTTTGTTTGAAGCAGCATTTTCTGCTTTGAGATGCTGCAAACACTGGTGGATAATGAGCTGCTCACGAACACAGTGATAAGCTTCACTTTATATTTATTTCAATTAAATCGCAGCCTATGCTATTTGATAATTGCCCTTTTGCGATTCGATTTATTTGGATTAATAGTGCAGCGGTGCCACATCAGAGTGTTGGTCCCCTTTAGAAACTGTGAACACACAAAGGTACAGACCGAATAAGCAGCGGAATGATCTCTCTGCGTGTCGATTGTGACGTATCCGTACGCAGCAGGAGAGGTCAAAAACAGAGAGTGCTGCTGCAAGGTGCTGCCGTTGCTGATGAGGTTTCATAGCATGTGTGTTTTCATCAGGAGGAACGAAGAGGGTTCAACGGCAGGGCAATGGCAGACCCCCCATTCTCAATCACACTCGGCCCCTGAGGGCATGCGAAGGTGCATGCGCGTGAGGTTGTGCTAGCGTGAAAAAGAACGAAAAAGGGCCAAAAAGTACAATCCTTACATATAAGGAAGGGATTTAGCGGATGCGTTATCCTCCCGTCTCATTATCCTCCTTGCATTTCACCGTATTTAAGAGCATGTGGGCGAGGCCGCTGGTAAACATCTGATACCATAGACGCACCATGTGGCATCGCCACGGAGATATTTTTAACCAGCATGCTGCCGGCTTTTCCTAAAAGCCCTATTCCTCAAACCTCTCTCTGTTTTCCCCCTCGTTCTCTCTCTCTTTCCACCTGCTCTTCACCCCATCAGCAGCGGGGTCGTTGTGAGGTCGGGAGGAAAAATGAAGCGCTGTGTGATGCCCCTCCGAGCCTACTGATGGAATGCTCTTTCTTGTTTCTCCTCTAATGCTTTCCTTTAATTCCTCTCTTTCATGCTTGCTTCCCGCCCATCTTTCCTGGCTTATCTCATCTCTGCATTCACCTGCGCATCTATTTTCCATCATCCCTTTTGTTTCTAAACACAGGCCTGGAGGTGTTTAAAGAGAACGTGTGGGCCGAGATGCTGATTTGGAATGAATCATGATGCTCCGAGCATCATATTTGACGCTAAACGGGTCCGTCCTTACTGCGTTTAGGATCCGACGTGTGGTGAAACCACTCATCTCTGAAAAACCTAACATGCCTTCTACACCGTTTATGTAGTTTAAACATTTATCAGCTATTAAAACATGTCGTTTTGTAAAATTGCAGGATGGAAGCTCATAATATTTTTCACGTCTAAACACATCCTTGTAGATGCTTTTTATTTTTGTAGAGGCCTAAACAATAAGATGAATGGCACATATAGGCAGCGCTGTGATCTCTAGTGGGATCAAGCCTCGGGACCCTTCTTGAAAGCCTGACGGGACACAGGTTAAATATTTTCATCCAGAATGATATGATAATTGTAACCATAAATAAAAAATAAGTTCTATAAAGGAAATATATATATATATATATATATTTAAATGCGTTATTAAATATAATTTTATTGGGCAGCCTGTATTTGTAACATCAGACATAGCAAGAAAGACAAAAACGCTGTTGTGAACATATACATTTTATAATTAATATTCTTCATGTTCTTTTGTAACATTGTGGCATTATTACATTTATTGAGCCATATATTTATACTGGATCCTCATACCAATATTCTTCTGTACTTTTAAAATGTGGCTTGTGGATTATGTATGTGTAAGTGATAGATTTGACAGTGTAAATTTGCTCCATTGTACAGAGAATTATCATAATATTTTTTTGGGGGGGATGTTTTTGAATGACCTGTCATTGCATTCCACTGCGATGACCAGAATTATGGTGGTTGTGAGGAAAAGGTCATGAGGCCTGATTTCTGATTGTCTCTCTCTTTTTTTTTTTTGGTTCTAAATTTTAAGGTAAAAGTAACATTTTAAAATGTGTCAGTTGTGTGGTGTAGTGGTCAGCGATAATGCTTAAGATCTTCAGAGATAAAGAGCTCATATGCAAGATTGGTTTGAATTCATCCAGCATTGGGTCATAAGTCCATTCCCCTATCTTTTTTCTGTATTTGTCTCATTTGTGTTGGCCAAAAGTTAAGTTACTTTTTTTGGGGTTCCATCATTTTCCTTACTTTCTTTCTCTGTGAGTGAGTGGTTGCGGGCCATTGGCTGGGGTTACCAGGGCAACTGCTGGCATGGTGACTACATTGGACAGGACAGCTGGGTGCCATGCAGCCCCCCTCAGCCCCCCTTGGCAGAGGGAATCGTAACAGCAGAATGCTGCGTTGAGCCAGAACCACTTGTTCCATGTGGCAGCAGATTAGTCTGATTTTAGCATAACTTGATTAATTTCTTCTCCTTGTTTTTGTAGGAATGTACAATATGTCAGCATCATAACGGTTATTTGTCGTCATCATGATTTCATACTATAAGTTCATTCACTACCATTCAAAAGTTTAGGGTTGGAGAGATTTTTTAAATGTTTTTGAAAAAAGTCTCTTATGTTCACCAAGGCTGTATTTATTTGATCAAAAATACAATAAAAACAGTCGTGGCCTAATGGTTAGAGAGTCAGACTTGTAACCCAAAGGTTGCGGGTTCAAGTCTCTGTGCTGGCAGGAATTGTATAACCAGCAGTCTCTTCCACCTTCAATACCACGACTGAGGTGAGACCCTTGAGCAAGGCACTGAACCCCCAACTGCTCGCCGTGTGCCACAGCAAAAATGCTGTGTGTGTTCACTACTGTGTGTGCGGGTTAAATGCAGAGCAGAAATTCCGAGTATGGGACACCATACTTGGCTAAGCTTCAGTTTCAGTTTAATATTATGAAATATTTTTGCAATTTAAAAATAACGGTTTCCTATTGTAATACATTTTAAAATGAATTCCTGTGATGTCAAAGCTGCTCCATTTTT